ATAAAATTTATGATATTAAATACATTCATTCATTTAATAATATATAAAAATTATATGAAAAAATAATATAAAAAACTTATTTTTATAGTACACCAATTAATTAATTAATCAAATTATAGATAATGATGCTGCTTAGGACAAAACTCTTCTATGAAAAGTCCGTGTCATTTCATTATCAAGATCCGTACAAACAAAATTTAATGGCTTTTGGGGAAAAAATGCAAAAGCATTAATTGACTAAACCTATAAAAAAACACATTATTTGCACTTTTACTTGTACGCAACTTGTTCCAATTAAGAAATTAAACAATATTTTTCTAATATCAACCTCCTAACATAAACCTTAAATCAATTAAACTAAATAGTCAAAACTACTGTAATACTATCATGCTACCAAAGGCGAAGTTAAGAATTTATGTTAGAAGGACAATTTTCAAATTTTTTGAGTCATTTATCAATTTATATAATATAATTTATTTCATTTTTTACATCAATCATTAATTCACTAAACCTATAAAAAAACATATTATTTGCACTTGGATGCGAACCTGTTCCAATTAAGAAATTAAACAATATTTTTCTAATGTCAACCTTCTAACGTAAACCTTAAATTAATTAAACCAAATAGTCAATACTATCGTAATACTATCATGCAACCAAGGACAAAATCAAGAATTTATGTTAGAGGGACAAAATTTTAAAATTTTTTGAGTCATTTATCAATTTATATGATATAATTTATATCAATTTTTACATCAATCATTAATTGACTAAGCCTATAAAAAAACATACTATTTGCACTTTTACTTGGATGCAACTTGTTCCAATTAAGAAATTAAACAATATTTTTCTAATGTCAACCTTCTAAGGTAAACTTTAAATTAATTAAACCAAATAGTTAATACTATCGTAATACTATTGTGCAACCAAGGATGGAGTCACAAATTTATGTTAGAGGAACAAAATTTTAAAATTTTTTGAGTCATTTATCAATTTATATGATATAATTGATATCAATTTTACATCAATCATTAATTTTATGCACATACCATTTATAATATTCATGTCAAAATTTAAATTAATTAAATATATTTAACTATTTTTGAATAGCTTATAATTTAAAATCATTAAATGAATAGTATAAAAATATAGTTTATTTTCTTTATAAAGTTACATATATCAAATTAATTTTAAATTTGAAACATATTTACATAAATACAATAGATTCAACAATTGATCTAATGGAATATTAATTATATAAATAAAAATTATATATAACCAATGTAATGACTTATATAAGTTATATTTAATATAACTAAATCTAAAGTATTTTTTTTATATTTGTCCTTATTTAGATAAAAGTAATGTTTTTATAAGAATTAGTGACAAATAATCTCTTTATCTAAGTCACAAATATTTTCTTTATATTTAAATGGTCCCTATAGTTCAAACTTCCAAAATAAATTTTATAAAAAATTCAAAATATTTGTACCATATTTAATATTTTTCAAAAGTTTAGGGAGCAGCTGCCCCTTTATCCTAAGCTGACTTCCCCCTTGCTGCTACTACCTATCTTATTGACTAAAACAAATATACATATATAACACATATCACTCTCAAATTTTGAAAATAATTAAAATTTTAATATTAAATTATTTTATTTTATTT